GTTACTTATTGAGTTGGTTGTACTTACGCTACACCCTGCACCTCTTGTGCAGATCCATGTGTTTTCGATCATGGCGGGTGCTGATCCACAGAGTTCAGACATTTGGAGATTATCAAGGTAGCTGCTTCAGCGTCCGCATGCCTTAGCACTCCTTCCCTATCTTTCGGTTTAGTTATTCAGTTCTACTTTATGGACAGTGTAGTAGACTGTGTCATTATGTAGGTGCTCATGTACTCAGTGACACCCCGATTTTGGGAAAACTTATACAATGAGTTATGATATTCTATTGCGTTTTATGAGATTTTTATTTATTTAAACTGTTTTAGTATATTTCAAAGTCGAAAGTGTTGGAAATGTCTGAGCAGTCGGCTTGCCTAGCACCATGATAGGCGTCATCACGACAAGTTGGGTTTTGGGTCGTGACAACAACAAATCTCAATGATGCATGATGGAGGTTGAACAATTTTTCTCATTTTGGGAAGGACTATCACTATACTTTTATAAGTGATAGCGTACTCCATGATAGGGAGGAATAAACTCCATACGAAGACCATATCCCGCATCCAAAAGATAATATTTATCTACAAAGCAAAATCAAAGTTAATTAATATACATATTTAATATACTTTAGGTTGAATAGATACCTTTGGGGACTTGAAACCCCCGTGGTCTCTCCAATGCATCATTTAATATGCGTGAGTCATGAGCAGATCCTTACCAACCAACAAGCACATATGTAAACTTCAAATTAAAGATGACTGCATCCAAGACATTTTGTGTTGTTGCGCCTTTACGGCCACGATACCTATTTTGGAGTTCGATAGTAACAGACGCAACCACATGTATGCCATTTATTACCCCTACACAATCTTATATGTACAACTAAAGTTAATAATATATACTGATGTTCAAAATTAATTAAAAACTTAATATTTAATATGTTACTCACTGCAAACCAAGGGTAATAACGATGGTTGTTCCTTATCTCTGACTAGATAGTATTATTCGGTGATTTCACAAGGGTTGGATAGAGCTTCAAAATTGCTTGAAGTACAGTGCGGAAGCATTGATGAACAAATTCAATCAACCTATAAAAACGTGACCCTATCTTGTGAAACCGTTTATTAAAACCAACAATTTCTAAGAAAATTAGAACTTGTTCTTGCACGAACATATTTTTGGTTGATCTCAAAAAACTATTTCTTCTAAGAGCATTAAACAATTCAAAATTACATGCTGGCTCATTCTTATCTGACTTACACTTAAAACTCCCTCTCTTGGTCTTTATTGGTATAAGGTGCTCTAGGAATGTTACTTTGATTTTTATAGGCTAAAATAATTGCAGCCCTAGCATCTAAGGCAGATGTGGCTGCTGCTCCAACTATTGCATCATCTTCGTCGTTCTCAATCAAATCCATTTGTTGCAACCCAAATTTAGAACTTCTAATCATAAAAACAGATTGATAAAAAAATTAAAGAGCCTAAAAGAAATCGAACTTGGAACTAGTAAATCACTCAAACAACCCAAATATATAAGAATCTGTAGGTTTCTCGTTCCTAGTAGATTTTGTCCATACATATTCTTTACTTTCATTAGTGGTTAGTTATTAACAAAATAATTACAACCAACTTAATACACTTCATACAATTCTTTGGAGGAGATTAGTGTAACGATCTGACTGGTTGTTTTGAGCATTTATACTTCGCTCGATTATTTGAGGGCATGAGTAGCTCCATATGATATATTATGACTTATGTGAATCGTCGGTTTTGATTTTCAGGTTATTCAGAATTGAATTGGAAGAATGGATTTCATTGTTGAAGCTTTAAATTGGGAGAGTTGATTAAGTTTGACTTTTTGTGAAATTGAACCCAGAATGGAGTTTTGATGATTCCGTTAGATCCGTTGGGTGATTTTGTACTTAGGAGCGCGTACGGATTGTGATTCGGAGGTCCGTGGTTGATTTTGGCTTGAAATGGCAAAAGTTGAATTTTTGGAAAGTTTGACCGGGGGTTGACTTTTTGATATCGGGGTTGGAATACGATTTTGGAAATTGGAATAGCTTCGTTATGTTATTTGGGACTTGTGCACAAAATTTGAAGTCATTCCGGATTGATTTGCTATGTTTCGTCACGAGTTATTGAATTTGAAAGTTCAAAGTTCATAGATTTCGATTTGAGGTGTGATTCGTCATTTCGATGTTGTTATGCATGATTTGAGGCCTCGAGTAGGTACGCGTTATGTTAGTGGACTTGTTAGTATATTCGTACGGGGTCCCGAGTGGCTCAGATGAGTTTCGGATGAGGTTCAGATCAATTTCGTTGCTTATTGCATTATTGAAGACTGCTGGTTTTGGTGCTTTCGCACTTGCGGAAATGGGCTTGCAGGTGTGATAGTCGCAGGTGCGACAAAGGCATCATAGATGCGAGATGAGAGCTGGATGAGGAGGACCGCATAAGCGGCCAATGTGCGCAGAAGCGCGACCGCAGGTGCTGTCCTAGGCATCGTAGAAGCGATCATGGCTGGCCAAGCCATTCTTGCAGAAGCGAGATTTTTCCCGCAGAAGCGAAGGTCTCAGATGCGACCTCTTGTCCGCAGGTGCAGATTGACTGGGCAGAACCCTTTAAGTTCAAGGGTTCTGTAATTTTTCACCCATTTTCGGATTTTGGAGCACGGTTTAGGCGACTTTTGGAGTAATTTTCATCACACGAATTGGGGTAAGTATTCTACACTTGGTTTTGATCTTATTCTATGAATTTACCTTCATTTTTGGTAATTGGATTGTGAATTTTAAAGAGGAAATTTGGGGTTTTGGCCTAAAGTTTCATAATATGAATATTTGAGTTTTAAACATCGAATTGGAGTCGAATTTGAGTGAAACTAGTATGGTTGGACTCGTAATTGAATGGGTTGTCAGATTTTGTGAATTTTGTCGGGTTCCAAGGTGCGGGCCCGGGTTGGGCTTTTGGCCGATTTTGGGCTTTTAATTCTAGATTTGATCCTTTTCGATTGGGATTAGTTCCTTTAGCACTGTTTGATGCATTTGAGTTGTTTTTGGTTAGTTTCGAGCCGTTCGGAGGTCGGAACATGCGGGATGGCATCTTTGGAGCATCGCTTGGCTTGCTCGGCATTGGTATTGGCTTGTTCAAGGTAAGTAACTTTTCTAATCTTAGTGCTAAGGGTATGAAATCCCAAAATACGTGTTATGTGATTGGTATTGAGGTGACGCACATGCTAGGTGACAGGCGTGTGGGCATGCACTATGTGAATTGGGACTCTGTTGCTTCCATGACACTGTATAATGGTCCTACTTTGTTGATATCTGTGTTTTCACCATATGATAAAGTAGTTAAGCTGTCAGTCATGCTAGATATCATGTTTAGGCATTATGCTGATATTGTTTGGACCCATAGTAGTCGTTTCTTACTGTCATCTCACTTATTTCATTGATATTTCGTACTCAGTGATATTCATGCATTCATATCCTATCTCAGTCTCAGTTATTTATTGATATATCATATCATTGTTGTCGGGTTAGTTTCATGACATTGTGATCCCGTGAGTGAGATTGGAGAGATTGATGACTGAGTGAGGCTGGGGGCCTGTTTGTGAGGATGTTGTCACTATAGCATGTGAGTTGTCCGTGCGATTCCAGATGTTGATATTATAGCACGTGAGTTGTCCATGCGATTCCAAATATTGATATTATGCCACGTGAGTTGTCCGTGCGGATTATAGCACTTGGGCTAAAAAAAGCCCCTCCGGAGTCTGCACATCCCCAGTCGACTATAAATATGGATCGAGCTGCACGCCGCAACGAGTATGGTACAACGCTGAGTGATTGAGTGTGCTGAGCATAGTGAGAGAGAATGCGAGATAGTGAGATTGAGTACTCTGAGAGTGTGGGCACATGAACTCATCATCGAGATGCATTGCATTTGTCATGCGTACTTGAGATACATGCATAAAGGTGCATTCCCTTCTGCTACCTAGTTTTGGGGACATTTGTGATTTTACCTGTATCTTGACATGTAGGCATAGAGAAGTACTTTCCTCATGTTATATGAAAATGAAACATCTTACTATTTGTTGAAAGGAGTTTGGAAAAAATCACAGTTTTCAAACTTACTCGTATTTTGGCTTTTTCGGTAAAAGATTTGGATTTTCACTGAGATACTTGAAAAGAAATACCTATTTTTCTGGAACTGTGAACAGACTGAGCCTTTTATTTATAAGATACTCTTTTGTTACGTGTACTATGCTATTATGAACTGTTGTGGAATATTGATGTTGGACCCGACCTTTCTGTTAGCTCGTCACTACTTCCAACCTAAGGTTAGTTTTGTTACTTATTGAGTACATGTGGTCGGTTGTACTCATACTACACTTCTGCACCTTGCGTGCAGATCTTGGCTGCTGATGTTGTTGTATTCGATGGGAGCTGGATTTGAAGATGTACCTGCGTCCCGGTTGTAGCTGCCTCTTATTCGTGGTAGCCTTGGAGAATGTATTAGATTCAAATATTTCTTTACTTAATTGATTTATTAATTGTTATTGGAATTGGTTAGTAGTTAATTGGCTTACCTAGCGGGTTGGGTTAGGTGTCATCATGACTAGTCGAATTTTGGGTCGTGACAATTAGGATTCATGTGGGATTAAAGCTGTCACTGAAGAAAAAGTACTTCAGAATTTGCATTTGTATCATTAGCACGGGCAACATATGCTAAAAATAGTACTACATATTAGAAACTTTAATCTTTCTATACACTATAGAGCAACCTTTATTTGTTATTATTAGAAATCATTAGAAGAACAATGGAGGATTTTTTTTTCACTTCTAACATTTACTAGGGTTTACCAAAAGTAGAGAGATAATCAAATCAGAAAATAAAAACACAATCAAAGTTCACAAAGTATTTAGGAAAATAGAGATGAAATAATAGAAAACAGAAAATGGAAAAAACCGTATCGCAAAGCATCGACAGAAAATGAAAAATACCTTGTTGTTGCTGGAAAACAATAGATTGGTGGGGCGGCAAGTGGAGGAGAATAGAGTAAAGGTTCGCCAAAACCCTAGATTGGTGTGATGGCGGAGGATCTTAAAACCCGAGATTGAAGATGAGAGAAATTGGAGTGAAGCGAGATCGACAGAGAGAAGGGAGAGAATCGACTAATTTGGGAACCAACCCGGGGGAGGGGTGGAAGCGAGATGCATATTTTGTTTTTAGGAAAATGTTTTCCTTTCAAATTTTAGGGATAACATTTTTCCCCAACTCAAGAAAAATAAGTTGATAGGGAAAATATTTTTCAAACTATTTATGTCAACCAAACATGGAAAAATGAGAAAATATTTTCCTTCATACCAAACACACCCTGAGTTATGACTCTGTTTCCAAAGGAATACTAAAGCTTTGCAGGAGTCCTAATACCACCCCCCCTGAATTAGTTGAAAGTAGAATTATTAGCCTTTTTTTACGCCACCTGCCATTGTGATCTTCATGAACCTGTTGCCACCTCCAGCTCTACCATTTTAGTCCACATATGCATGGCTACCATTTAATTCATTCATTAGCTCCACCATTATTGAGCATCTAAAATACTCCATTGTCACCAGGCCAAACACCATACACTTCTAAGCCGTTTTTACTCTTTTATCTCTGTCGCCATTCATACCATTTTCAACCTAGCTCATTCTTTGTGAATTTGGTTGCAGTCTGAACCATAAATCTAGAACTTGAAACATCAGTTAACAACTTTACCAAAAAAAGAAATTAACATCAATTAACAGCCCGATCCCCTAAATTACTAAACACACAAGAAAAAGAATTTAAACCACAATGAAATTAGCCTCTAGAAAATCAGAAGCAGCTTTACCAAGTTTAGAATCAAAACTTATTTTTTTAAAAAATAAACTTTATGCCACCAAAACAAAGAAATTAAATGTCTCCGCCAAGATAACAATTTTTCTGAAATTTATAACCAAAACTCAATACCCCAAAAGAAACTAAACCCTCACACCATAAACTCATTGCTTGCAACCCAAGAACTTGCTTTCAATGGATAAAACAATATTTAAAGTATGTGATGGAGTGCTTTTTGTGAGCTTGAAAGTCATTGGCAATATCTCCCGATAAGGAGATTACGACACAGAGCAATAACAACAATAATAAAAAATTCAGTAAATTCTCACAAGCGGGGTCTGGGGATGGTAAGATGTACGTAGCCTTATCCCTATCCTCGAAGAATAGAGAGGCTATTTCCAATAGATTCTCAGCTAAAGAAAGGATGAGAAGAAGTAATGACGACAAGTAGTAACAAAAACAAGATAAAAGAAGACCGAAGTCAAGATAACAATTAAAGCTAGGTAATAATAATAATCTAAGAATAAAAAGATATCATACAAATATTAATGCTATCGAACTGAGGAACACAAAGAGAAAATGCCTGACTGCCTACTAATATTCTACCCTAATCCTCGACCTACAACTCCATGTCAAGAGTCATGTCCTCAGTAAGCTCTAGCTGCATCATGTCCCATCAAATCACCTCTCCCTGAGTCTTCTTTGGCCTACCTCTAATGTTTCTCATACCCACCAAGGCACCTCTCACACCTCATAACTAAGAATTCCGTGTTTCTCCTTTTAACGTGTCCGAACCATCTCAACCTCGCCTCCTACATCTTATCCTCCACGGGAGCCTCACCGACCTTATCCCAAATAACTTAATTCCTAATCTTATATAACCTGGTATGCTCTCATATCCATCTCAACATCCTCATCTCTGCTACTTTTATCTTCTAAACATGAGAGTTCTTGATCGACCAGCACTGTGCCCCATACAATAAGCCAGTCTAACCACTACTTTGTAGAACTTACCCTTAAGTTTTAGTGGCACATGCTTATCATACAAGATAGCGAAAACAAGCCTCCACTTTATCTACCATGTTCCGATACGAAATTTGACATCCTCATCCCTTGTATTATTGACCCAAGGTACTTGAAACTTCCTTCTCCTAGGAATGACTTGTATATCAAGCCTCACATCCATGTTTGCTACATGGGTAATATTGTTGAACTTGCGCTCCAAGTACTCCGTCTTAGTACTGCTCAGCTTGAAACCTTTATATTGAAGAGTCTATCTCCGAACTTCCAGTCTATCGTTAACACCTCACATCGTCAAACAGAATTACGTCATCTGCAAATAATATACACCATGGCACCTCTCCTAGTGTAACGACCCGACCGGTCATTTTGAAATCTAGCACGTCATTCAGTAGTTTGAGGTCTTGAGCAGCTTCACTTCAGGTATTATGACTTGTACGCGTGGTCAGAATTTAATTTCGGGAAGTTCGGAGTTGGTTTGGAATGAAAATTCTAATTTCGGAAGCTTTAAGTTGGTGGAATTGACTAAAGGGTGATTTATGAGTAAATGATCTTGGAATCAGGATTTGAAGGTTCCAACAGGTTCGTATGATGATTTTGGACTTGAGCGTATGTTCGAATCGGGTTTTGGATGATCCAGGAATATTTCGGCTCCTATTATGGAAGTTGGCATTTTGGAAGGATTTCATAAATTTGGGTTGGAGTGCATTTCAATGCAATCGATGTCCGTTTGAGATTCTGAGTCTAGGAATAGCTCTGTATGGTTATTCTGGTATTGGGAGAGCGTCCAGATATGGATTTGGAAGTCTGTAGGTCATTTTAGGGTCATTTGGCGAAAGTTAGAAATTTGAAGATTTTTTAGAAGTTTGGCCAGGAGTGGACTTTTGATATAGGGGTCGGACTTCGATTCTGAAAGTTGGAGTAGGTCCGGAATGTCGATCATGACCTGTGTGCAAATTTGAGGTCAATCAGACGTGATTTGATAGGTTTCGGCATCGATTGTAGAAGTTTTTGAAGTTTCAAAGTTTAATTAGCTTGAATTGGGGTGCGATTCATGATTTCGATATTGTCTGATGTGATTTGAGCCCTCGAGGAGGTATGTGTTATGTTATTAGACTGGTTGGTGTGATTGGACGGGGTCCCGGGGGCCTCGGGTGAGTTTCAGATGCTTAATAGATCGATTTTTAGACTAAGGAAAATGCTAAGGCAGCTGGTATCTGGTGTAACCGCACCTGCGAGGTTTTGGCCGCAGGTGTGGAGCCGCAGAAGCGGCCAAGAGGGTCGCAGAAGCGGGTATGGCTTGGGAAGGCTGGGACCGTAGATGCAGTCAAGTTCCGCAGAAGCGGGACTGCACCTGCGCACGAAGAGCCGCAGAAGCGGAGGCGCAGAAGCGCTGCCAGGCCACAGATGCGGGAAACATTGGGCTGAGCTTGAACCGCACATGCGATGAAATTTCCGCAGGTGCGGAGCCGCATAAGCGGCTATTGCACCGCAGGTGCGAGGATCGCTGGGCGGTGAGATTTTATAAAACGGGGTTTTGGCTCATTTCCACTTCATTTCGTCCATGGGAGCCGATTTTGGAGCACTTTTGGAGTGCCATCTTCATCAACTATAATGGAGTAAGTGATTTCTTCACATTATGCGTTAAATACATGGTTTTTACATGGATTCAAGCATGAAAATTTGTAGAAATTTGGGACTTTGAAGAAAAACCTAAAAATTGGTATTCTTGGAATTTGATCATTAATTTGGTCATGAAATTGAGAATAAATTATATATTAGAGTTCATAGTGCTATGGGTAGTGTTTGTCTTCGAAAATTTTTAGAATCTGGGCACGTGGGCTTGAGAGTTGCTTTATCAATTTTTCGAGCGGAGTTGGAAGTTGTTATAAATTGATTAATTATGAATATTAGAGTATATTTTGATTGGACTGCATCTTATTTGACTAGTTTTGGACCGGCGGGCATCGATTTGAGGTGTTAAAGAGGCTTTGGAGCCGGTTATGGAATTTCAAAGCGAGGTAAGTCTCTTATCTAACTCTGTGAGGAGGAAATTACCCCTAGGTGTTGTATATGGATGTGTGCTACTTGTTATGGGGGCTACGTATGCGCGAGGTGACGAGATCCCGTACGTAGCTACATTCATGTTATTGTCCGGGTAGGCTTAGGTTCACATCATGCTATATCTGTATTATTTGAGCAGTCTCTCGCCTATT